GCTTCAAACCCTTTATTCCCCGGTTTGTTTCGCGAAACCGAGTAGTATGATTAGCCTACACATTTGGAGTATAGCTCACATTCAAATACGTGGTGAATAAGCTGAATTGCTCCTTTCTTTTAACTACGTTATATAACAGTGTTAAATTGTATCGTTAATCAATACTGTGAAAGTACAAATGAAATTAGTTCAACCTACTACTTACATAGTGGTTAAGTCTCTAGATGATGATAGATTAATTAAATTTGAAGTTTATAAATAATGGTTATTTAGTTAGTTGGTCAACTTTCTCAATTCAAATTAGTGCCATACAATTTTTTAATTTTTTTCGGTCAATATTATGCAATTTGAAGGTTAACAAAGGATGATGCACTAAAAAAAATCAACTCACTTAACGCAGATGTGCACTCTGTCAGTCTAAATACCAAACCAAACTTTAAAGTCTACTTATTCAGCACAATATTCTTTCATTATCAAGTATTCTCGAACATTTCACTTCACTCGATTGGTTTCCAAATGAAACTACAACGAGATGGTGGAGAAGATTTGTAGCTCAAGTGGATGATTGTGGTGGTGTTTGGTTCTCTGAGCTGGATGATGTTTTGGTTGTGGAGCTTTCATTGTTCTACTGAACAACATCATCAGCACAAACTTCAGATAGAAGTGAAGCATTCTAATTTCTCCATGCTTCACTTCTATCTGAAGTTTGTGCTGATGATGATGTTCAGTAGAAGAACAATGAAAGCTCCACAACCGAAACTACAACGAACAAAACTATCCTATGCAACAATATAAGCATGTTGAGGATGCTTTTTCCCACCTCGAAATGCGAAATGTTGCTTCAGGATTGACTTGCATCGGTATCTGAACAAGTGGTAGGGAGTGAAGTAGTTGAGCGTGTTGACCGCTTCACTTATCTCGAGAGTTTCATTACAGCTGATGGTCTAGTTTGTGATAAAGTCTCAGCATGTACACAGAAGTCTCGATTGACTTTTGCCAACATTCGCCACTTATGGTCTCGGTGAGGTATCAGTTTGCTGATAAAGGACGAGTGGACTGCGCAGTAGTTCTCTCGGTCCTACTATATGGATGCGAAACATGGCCGGTAAGAGTTGAGGATATTTGTAGGTTATTAGTATGCGATTATAGATATCTTCGAAAAATCGCTCGTGTATTTTGGGACAGCTTTTTTTAGGAATCCATTACTAGGTAGAGATGGCAAGTCAATAGATGAAGTATCAAAACTGCATCAGTTGAGGTGGTTGGGACATGTGTCACACATGCCTAACCACCGACTGCCTCGTTGAGCTATGTTTTGCGATGTAGCAATAGGTTTGAAGAAAGCTAGGGGAGTCCAAACCAAAACATGGCACAAATTGATGAAGTCACTGACAAGTGGACTGATTCATATTGGTAGATGTAGGCTACCTGGTTGGGGTCCGCGAGACGAAAGTCACCAATGGTTAAAGACCTTGAACGACATGGCGCAGGTGTATCCACTCTTTGTGTTCTCTCAAATTCAAACCGTCATAATTCCTCATCACTTGTATCTTTCTATTTCTAAAGTTATCTCACTGAATTATACTTCTTGAATAATATCTTCGAACCCTAACCCCTGAACCCTACCGGTAATACTTCCACCATCTCTACCACTATTGGATTTGAATTGGCAATTGCGTCTTTGTACTACTATGGTATAGCAACCTGAACTTACGTACTCATGTCCTGAAGTTCTAACGTTGTAACTGACTGACTGATTTACGAAACGGAACACTGAGTTTAGTAACCAAATGACTATGCATGTATTCCCTAATTTGTAGGGGTACTCTCAGCTCATCCTTGTTTGGCATTGATTAGTTGCAGTACATTTCTATCAACTGTAAATCTGAATTTTCTTTTTTCCATTTTCTTCTGTCTAATTTCATTTCATTTCTTTCAATTTTTTTCTTTGTCAAATTAGAAACAAAAGCTGTTGGTTATTTAGTTGAACCACCAGAACGTATTGAACCAATGCAACCGGCTAAACATACACAAACAGATATTGTTTATATTCGATTTCTTGTACGACCATTCACTGGGGAACAGCTGCGTCAAATGATTGTAACACATTATGGTCCAGTTGTTGACCTGTGGTTAGATAAAATCAAATCATCTTCACTTGTCCGTTTGCAAAGTGTTGAATATGCTACAAAGTAAACTTATTTACATTTTTTGTATGTGTGTGTGTATATATGACCAATTTTGTTTAGTTATTGTTACCATTGGGCTCAAAATTGTTTGTAATGGCGTAGGTGCATCCATTCTCTGTGTGTTCTCTCAAATTTTAGCTTGAATTCCTCATCACCTCTATCTTTATCTTCCTAAATTTACATCAGTGAATTATACCTTTTGAATAACATCTTTGAACCCTAATCTTCTCCATTACTGCTAATACTGCTAAATCTACGACTATGTCTTAAATCAAAACATGACAGAAATCCATGAAGTCACTAACAAGTGGACTGAGTCATGTCGGTAGATGTCGACTAGCTGGTAGCTGTCAGCGAGATGTTAGTAATCGCGATGGTTAGAGACCCTGAATGACATGGTTGAAAATCGTTTGCAATGGCGTAGGTGCATTCATTCTTTGTGTTCTCTCAAATCTTAATCTTCTGGATTCGTCAACACCTCTACTGTTGACTTTCTAAACTTTTCTCACTGAATCATACTTCTTGAATAATATCTTCTAATCCTAACCTCTCCGATTACTTTTAATATCTTTACTACCTCTTCTACTATTGGATTTGAATTGACAATTATATCTCTGTTCTGATGTGGTACGGCGACATGAACTGATGTACTTACGTACGAAGATCTACGTTGCAATCGACTGATTGATTGATGACTATATAATCGACAGTTGCGTTTCTTTGCTGATGTGGTATGATAACCTGAACTTGTGTACTCTCATGTACGAAGTTCTACGTTGTAACTGACTGACTGACTGACTAATTTGTTGTCTCTTCAACGTGAATAAATTGAAATTCTCAAAATCTGTTAAAGTAATTCTGGTGTTTCCGATGTTCAATATTATAAATTTTTTCATTGTTTCTTGTCAGTAACTTATTGTGACATGAACTATCATTGTTGTTCAATTAAACTTTTCTTATCCAACTTAAGCATTACTCTTTGTATTACCAATGTTTCACAGTAAAATAATTTAGGTATGATGCTTCCTATCGCGCACATTTCGCCTGTGGCATAAAATCATTACGTTTTTCGCACTTTTTTCTCGTAAAAATGTGAAATTAAAATATCTATTGAAATTATGAATGAAATTTGACCAATTGTCGAGTAGAGGATAAATTGCCTTTTGAGTTATTGATGTGTGTCACAGTTATCAGTTGTTATCATTCTCCGTTTTATTATTACAACCCAACTATTTCCTAATGCTTAATAGTATTCTCGGATATCAATTCACTCACTCGAGACAATCGCATCAAAATCAGAAGACGATTGAACAGGAAGTAGATTATATTCGTACAAAAGCAAAACATGTTAGTATATTTATAGTTTCCTCAGTATCGGCCAGCACTGATTGGTGGATACGAAAGAGCCAATCAGTGTGCAACAACACAATAATGCTTTCATCCAATCTATGTCCCACTAATATCAGTAGACTGGGCTACACTGATATCGTCATATTGTAGTGAAGGAGAACACAGGTGAGGGCAACCGGATTGTATTTAACGAAAATTACAGAGTTACTCAGTAAATTAGGAAAACCATATCGTAAATCGTTCATTTGCAAAATATCAGTCCATCATATCGAACTGGACTGTCCCTGTTGCAAAACATCAATCCATTGTCACTACTATTCATGCGTTTCATACAAATTCCATTGTGTTCTAACTCTTCCTTTCTTGATCTTCCCCCATCTTCTCTTCTGCCAGACATTACGTTGACACTCACGTCATATACTACTTATAAGTAGCTCGCACCACAATAGGTTTATAATTTAAAACCCTGTTCCTCACCTTTATCACATTATTTATTTAATCTATGAAAATGATTGACATACTTCTTTCTATGTAGATGTCGTGATGGTTTGGACGGTAGTCGTTGGCCATCAATGAATCCACGTGTGCTACGTTGTGATTATGCAAGTATAGATTTATTTGAATGGATGAAAGTCAACGGGGATTCGAATGATCTTCAACCACCAAAGCATCTATTACTTGGTGGGGATAATTCTTCGTCAAATGTAAATACTACCATGATGATGGTTGGTGATAAACCAGGCATGTACTATGTGTGATATTTATAATCAATTCATTGTGTTCCCCTCTCAAATTGTTTTGTAAAATCACCTATCAGTGAATTATTGTTAAGGGAAGGCATCAATGTAGATAAATACGATATAATTCTACATCTGATTTCCATTACGTCATAGGTTCTCATGTTCTCATGCCTTTTTCTGTTTAAAACAATGAAATAATAATATTCACTAGCTGTAATCTTTGTGGTTTTTCAAACCTCGAGTACACACGAATTTGTGGTCAATAGATGAGTTACTTTTTATTTGCATTACGGGTTTGTGAAGATTGCTAAGTTACTCATTTTTGAAACCATGAATCAACCAATATTAGACCACCATTAGAAACCTGGAAGCACTGGATGGCCGATTGGTCCTGGTATGGGACTCCTCAGCAGTCCGCATCCACGACTCCTACATCTCTCAGGATTCTAACCCAGGACCTTCGGTCTTGCGAGAGAACGCCTAACGATCGGACCACTGAGCCGGTATCTAACGGTGTTAATGTTTGACTTGATCAATTCATGGAGTTGCGCAACCTCATACACAGTCTTCGGTAGTTACTGTCTACACCCGAACAGGTTGAACTTCACTGGTCACGTCTTCCCACTAGAATTCGGAGAAGATTCCTCACGAAGCTAGTCACTAGTGAGCACAGGTAATTTGCATTACGGGGTTGTGAAGATTGTTAAGTTATACATTTTTGAAACCATGAATCGATCAATGTTAGACCACCATTAGAAACCTGAAAGCAACTCCGTGAATTGATCAATTTAGACATAAACACTGTTAGAAACCGGCTCAGTGGTCCGATCGTTAGGCGTTCGCCTACAATAACAAGTGTCGTGGGTTCGAACTCTGCGGGGTGCAGGAGTTGTGGATGCGCACTGCTGAGGAGTCCCATACCAGAACGAAACGGCTGTCCAGTGCTTCCAGGTTTCTGATGGTAGTCTAACATTGATCGATTCATGATTGCAAAAATGTGTTACTTTTTTTTACATACTCGACTTTTGCTATGTTAATCGACCATCAACTTGAATACTTTTCACCAGAACTTGTTCTATGCACTCGGTAACATTTATACCCATTTGTCAAATTATTGAAAAAGCACAAAGTTAATTTCTCGCTTGTACCTATAAAAATAAACAGAAAAACCTGTCGAAATGTAGGTATTTCTTTCTTGTCCGCAGAAATCTACTATTCAGGCTGGTAGTTTCATACAGGTCTAATCAATGATATGCAAACGATTTTTGAACTCAAGATTGGGACAAGTTACAAACGATGTTTGTCTGAATCTAGTTCAATTTTTAACAAATACACTGGATTTGAAATCAATCCAAACCTATATTTGTAATTTAATAATGATTTTTATTATTGCTACTGACTGCCTTCTCGTGTCGGAGGTGTTGTTTGTGAAAGTGAGAAGCTGAAAAAGTCTATGTCTGGCTCCCTGACCAGGTTAATAGGTATATGGAAGTTCTAAATCGATGGAGCGCATGGCCTCCATGATCTTGATGGGATAAAGTGTATGAACTTGTTACTAGTGAGACTGCATTGCGTTATAAACTAGATGATTGGGATTGGTGAGGAAACCACTTGCGTTGGTTCGCGCACCCACACAGTATCTCAGCTCATTTTGATCTCACTCTTTTGGTTCAATCTGTCACTTTTGTAAAACTTATTTGATTTGCGTTGTCACTGAAATTACAGTTATTATTTTGGAATAATTGCATCGCATCCTCGTTGATTTACTTGTTCGCTGTTGCGCTCATTTGACCATAAATTTACTCAAAAATTACTAGGAACCGTAACTGTCAATACGTTTCTTTATAATTCATATTTTTTGCACAAATGACCTTAAGTTTTTTTGTAACCTCATAATTTCACTAATTTTCTGTATGTTCAAAGGTTACAAGCACGTAACTAAATATTACTGAGTTATACCTGTTTACGTTGATCTATTGAAATTTCATATTTGTTTTAAACGCTTTGTGTTTGTTTTTTTGAGTTAATTGATAATTGTCAAACTGTTATGTGTGCTTGTCATCGCCAAGTGCGTAATCGAACCTCTTTGTATAAGAAGAATATCTCAAACGGTCCTGATTTCTTAAATATTGTAGGCTAATCGGAATCTTCAATAAACATGAATATATCTTTTTCCAAATAGCATTTTGGAGATCAGTGTTTTTACATTTTGAAATCATCAATCAATCTTTGTTAGACTACACTAGAAACCTGGAAGGACTGGTTGGCTATTTCCTCCTGTTATTCGACTCATCAGCTGTGCTCATGCATGACTCCTGCTACTCGCAGGATTCGAAGGAGGCGGGAGTCGTGGATGCGCACTACTGATGAGTCTTATACCAAGACGAAACGGTCGTCCAGTGCTTCCAGGTTCCTAATGATAGTCTAACAATGTTTGGTTGATGGTTGTAATGATTGTTTCTCTTAAAATATTACATCTGTTCAATAATGTATGATCCCGAAACTTAGACAATGTGGTTCTACAATTGTCTGCTCACTGACTCACTGACTGACTTTTCAAACTTGTGTTTCGTCTATATGAGATGTTACTCTTGATTGATCAAGGATCTATTGCCAACATTTTCTTGAAATCTCAAAGATAGTTCATATTTCATCATCACTATGTCTGCTCCGTTTCGAACTGCTTACCTCATTGATATTCTCTTAGATTCAGTAAATGTTGCGTCCAAATATTTCTCGTTATTATTTTAACTAGAGATCGGGATGCATCATTATTCATACCTATCAATACCTTTCAGTATTCTTCACAAACCTTTATACCAGTAATTATCATGTGCTCACATATGATTAATTTCATCTCAGATCATAGAACGCACAATAATATCCTTGATTAATTCAAGTTAGAGTTTTACACCCCATTGAATGTCATCTCAATGGTCTAGAGGTTAAGTGTTCAAACTCAAATCGGGCGATCCTTTGTTGTGGGACCCCATGTACTTGAATGCCTCTACAGCTGTTCTTTGCTGGGAAGAACCTTTTCTTCCTTGATTCCTGGCTTGTAGATCGATTCATTATATTGATAGTATTTACCAGTCTCCTTAAGTCTCTATATTGGTAGTTGTTTGTTGAAATAGAAAGGATTTCTCTGACATTCCTAATCAATGTATTGTTTAATGTGCAAATTATTGTTTTATTATTCTGTATCTACTTTTTTTTTAGATAATGATTTTATGACATCTAGTGATAAGAAACCTACTGATTTACGACGGAAATTAGAACGAAGCAATCGAGACGTTGAACAGCCTGTTTCCGTCAATAAATCTCGACAAGGTGACATTAAAGAGGCTCCGATAGGGGAACTGAAACGTAAGTATTTTTTTTATCTGAATGAATAAAAACTATATCAGAGTTATGTTTGATTTGATTTTCCTTGTTTATTGTTGTTAAGCTTTTTTATAATGTGAAAAATAACATGAGAAAGTTACTTTTGTTTGTTAATTATTTGTGTCGATGTTGCTTTCATTATTGTTTCGGCATAAAATGTGATGTCTATGAAGTGTGAGCTATTAGCAGTTCAGGGTGTTAAAGGGATGTAAGAAGAGTTAGTTGTGAAGATGTCAGGGCGTGTAGGAAGGAATTGATTATGACCAATTTCGTCCCGTGTGTTGCTACGGGTATGTGGGAGGATGTCATTTACCGACTGCTCACACCGAAGAAGGGTGTTCCTTAAGGACCTGAGAAATGAGGCATATTAGTGTCGGTCTTAGAGACGTGGGAGCGTGACCGCAGAGTCCAAGGGACAACTGCTTGAGGCGGGTCACGCACAGGCTTTTTATGAGAAGTTTTTTGAGTATTAACTCCGCACTTTTAAATCCCATAGTGGGCAGCCCTTACCGACGTAGACGGAAATCCGTGAGGTAGGTTGAGGTGTGACATGTTTAGGGTCGAGCTTTTCTAACCCTTCCTTCCTTGTGATAAGGCAACATTGCTGCAGATGCTGGTTGTCCGAGGGAAAAACCTTACTGCTGTCGCACCCCTCTGCAATCAGCAGTACGACTTCGCCCTGAGACCTTGAGTAGCTGCTTTTATTCTTATCGTTCCCGAATTGATCTGTCTAGCATGGTAGGATCTACAGGAACATATGTTTCAGCCAGTATATAGCTATGGGGAAGTTGTACGGATTACGTCCAGAATTAGTTCTACAGTTTTCTCATTTATAATATGAATTGGAAAGTGTGATATTATGATAAGTTGGAAAAGTGCTGAAGTTGAAATTTCTCTTGTTCAGTCTTTTCATTTATCAAACATTTTAATTCTCTATACTTTGATATGACTGTTTGGACTCTTTCTTGTTTTTTAATTTACGTCATGTTGACTTCGACTAGAAGCAATGGGATCAAGCCAACATTAGAGAAGTTCCATTGAAGTTATGACTGCCTTCGAACTCTCAGATTTTAGCTCTTGTATCATATGTCTAAACTGAGTAGACCAGTTGTTAACAGTTAAGGTGCTTGACTCTCTGCGAATGCGTCTTCGATTCAAACCTTGTTAGGCTTTCAATTTGAAGAACCGGATGGTGTCATTAACCCATCCTACACTTACAATGTATGCATACATAAGTAGTTGGTGAATTAGTCAAGTATTTTCATATTGTTTTTAATGTCTAAACTAAACTTCTTTCTGTGGAGTGAGTTAGACAAAATTATCTCCAACCTAAATGCAAAAATACTGATGTTTTCATTTTGAACATTGACACGTGTATGCTATCCAATCAACCCCTTTAAACAGTGGATGAGTAGTATTTGTGTGAAAGTTGAAACC